GAGTTACTTTGGTTCTACACTGCTGTAACTGAGAGCTGAATTTGTCCCCAATATTTTTGCAAAATATTCTGTAAAATAGGACATGGAACGGAACTAATTCTGATAATCACAAGTGACCAAATTAGCATCTACCTGTTAGCATTAGGAAGGTTGGGAATTTAACATATTTTAACTCTCAAGCTTTTTGGTAAGATTTATCTTAGCTCTCTTGATCTAGTATGTAGGGTATTCTTTCTACTGAGGCTGCAAAGCACTTTTAAAAATAAAAAAATTAAATCTTTGGAACAAGTGTGCACACCTAATGCAGTTTTGCCTTATTCTTCCCTAAACCTTATACTCGGAACTAAGCAGAAAAGCAACACACATTTTAAAAGCAGAATGAGATTTATAATTAACTAGTTTTGGGAATTGTTTACATGCCCTGTAAATCTTAATTTTTAGCAGCTTCTGATAACTTTTTCAGTTGTAAAAGATTATTGGTTGTAGTGAATGGTTTAATTAGTCTCAACCATTCAAACATCTGAGACAGATTGTTAGTATTGACTGCTCTGATGCTTTCTTAATATGCTACTTTTAATGATCATTTTATTTGTGTTTCTAGTGCATACTTTTCATTACTTATGACACTGGTTCCAACAATGCATGTCAGGTTTTTTCTTCTGCCTAACAGAGCCAACAGTGAATTTTTCTTTTCCTTTAGCTGAAAATGTATTGTTTTAAAAAAATCCCATCTAAGCCCACATGAACCATTTTCTCCATATACCCAGATCTCAAAAGAAAGCTGCTGGCATGGTTGCTAAACTCCCTTCACCATCTGTCTTGTTTATTTAACTAGTCATGGCTGAGGGATATGCTGCCTCAAAGTCCTCACTAAAGCTAATAGTATTAAGATATTAGTCATTATCACCTCGTATCTGTTCTACTAGCAGCTGATTTGATTAGTAAATTAAATGTAAACAGTTTGTTTTTGTGTATACAATTTGAATGTTAGAATATTCCTGGGTTCATACTGCTACACTGCAACACAGCTACTGTTAGTGTGACTAGTAACATCTTGTGGTCTTTGAATAATGGACTTCTGCAGAGCTTTTTATTTATTTGTTTTATATTTAAGCTAAAGTTTTACCAAGATAGATTTTATATTAGTGTTAAAATATGAGCATATGACAGAGTTGGCCCTAACCTGGCTAAATTATTATTTTCACATTGAAGTATAGTAACTATTTTGTAAAGAGTTGCTTGAATTCTTGAAGCACTATCCCAAGGTTTGGTTCTTGACTTGTTCCTCTTTTGGATTGTATATTAATGACATTGATTTAGTCTTTTTAATTCAATCAACAAATGTCCATCCACAGAGAGATGACATTTATAGGCTGGGAAATCTTTACGACTTTCATCCTTATCTCTAGTGTAGTTTTCAAAATTTGCAAGATTCGTTTAGAATGAATATATTGCTATAAAGTCACTAATATACAGTTGTTTGTTTCATCTCCTAGCATGCAATGTTTGAACTCCATGGCACATATCATTTGTTTTACTGGGTTGCACATTAAAGGTTCAAGTGTTTTGAAATGTGTTTAGATGAGATCAGTCTTTGACATTTGACTATGCCATTGAACTAATTTTATAAATAATAACGTAAGAAAGGACATACTGTGTCAGACCAATACTCCATCCAGCTCAGTATTCTATTTCTGACAGTGATGAGTGCCAGATGCTTCAGAGGGAAAGAACAGAGCAGGGCAATTATCAAGTGATCTTTCTGTTGTCCAGTCCCAGCTTCAGGCAGGCAAAGGTTTAGGGACACTCCAGGCATGGGGTTGCATCCCTGACCATCTTGGCTACTAGCCATTGATAAACCTATCCTCCATGAATTTATCTAACTTTTTTTTAATCCACTTATACTTTTGACCTTCACAACATCCCCTGGCAACGAGTTCCACAGCTTGACTGTTCATTGTGTGAAGATGCATTTCCTTATGTTAGTTTGAAACCAGCTGCCTATTAATTTCATTGGGTGACCCCTGGTTCTTGTGTTATCTGAAGGAGTAAAATACACTTTCCTATTCACTTCCCCCCGCACCATTCTCAACACTATCATATCCCTCCAATCATCTCTTTTCTAAGATTAACAGTCCCTAGTCTTTTTAATCTTTCCTCATATGGAAACTGGTCCAGACCCCTAATAATTTTTGTTGCCCTTCTCTGTACCTCTTCCAATTCTAAGATATCCTTTTTGAGATAGGGAGACCAGAACTGAACACAGTACTCAAGGTGTGAGCATACCATGGATTTATACAGTGGCATTATGCTATTTTATGGCTTATTATCCAGCCCTTTCCTAATGGTTCCTAACATTCTGTTAAGTATCAGAGGGGTAGCTGTGTTAGTCTGTATCCACAAAAACAATGAGGAGTCCAGTAGCACCTTAAAGACTACCAGATTTATTTGGGCATAAGCTTTCCTGGGTAAAAAAACACTTCTTCAGATGCATGGAGTGAAAATTACAGATACAGGCATAAGTATACTGGCACATGAAGAGAAGGGAGTTATCTTACAAGTGGAGAACCAATGATGACCAAGCCAATTCAATCAGGGTGGATGTGGTCCACTCCCAATAACTGATGAGGAGGTGTCAATACAAGAGGGGAAATTGCTTTTGTGGTGAGCCAGCCACTCCCAGTCCCTATTCAAGCCCAAATTAATGGTGTTAAGTTTGCAAATGAACTGTAGCTCTGCAATTTCTCTTTGAAGTCTGTTTTTGACGTTTTTTTGTTTCAGGATGGCTACTTTTAAATCTGTTATTGAATGTCCAGGAGATTGAAATGTTCTCCTACTGGCTTTTGTGTGTTACAGTTCCTGATGTCTGATTTGTGTCCATTTTTTCTTTTACATAGAGACTGTCCAGTTTGGCCAATGTGCATGGCAGAGAGGCATAGCTGGCACATGATGGCATATCACATTAGTAGATATGCAGGTGAATAAGCCCCTGATTGTGTGGCTGATGTGGTTGGGTCCTCTGATAGTGTCGCTAGAGTAGATATGGGGACAGAGTAGGCAACAGGGTTTGTTACAGGGATTGGTTCCTGGGTTAGTGTTTCTGTGGTGTGGTGTGTAGTTGCTGGTGAGTATTTGCTTCGAGTTGGGGGCTGTCTGTAAGTGAGGACTGGCCTGCCTCTCAAGGTCTGTGAGAGTGAAGGATCATTTTCCAGGATAGATTGTAGATCGTTGATGATGTGCTGGAGAGGTTTTAGCTGGAGGCTGTACGTGATGGCCACTGGTGTTCTGTTATTTTCCTTGTTGGGCCTGTCTTATAGTAAGTGACTTCTGGGTACCCGTCTCGCTCTGTCAATCTGTTTCCTCACTTCCCCAGGTGGGTATTGTAATTTTAAGAATGCTTGATAGAGATCTTGCAGGTGTTTGTCTCTGTCTGAGGGATTGGAGCAAATGCGGTTGTATCTTAGGGCTTGGCTGTAGACAATGAATTGTGTGATATGTCCTGGGTGGAATTTGGAGGCATGAGGTAAGTATAGTGGTCAGTAGGTTTCCGGTATAGGGTGGTGTTTATGTGACCATCACTTATTTGCACTGTAGGGTCCAGGAAGTGGATCTCTTGTGTGGACTGGTCCAGGCTGAGGTTGATGGTGGGGTGGAAATTGTTGAAATCCAAGTGGAATTCTTCAAGGGCCTCCTTCCCGTGGGTCCATGTGATGAAGATGCCATCAATGTAGTGCAAGTAGAGGAGGGATGCGAGGGGAATGAGAGCTGAGGAAACGTTGTTCTAAGTCAGCCATGAAAATGTTGGCATACTGTGGGGCCATGCGGGTACCCATAGTGGTGCCGCTGATTTGAAGGTATAAGTTATCCCCAAATCTGAAATGGTTGTGGGTGAGGACAAAGTTACAAAGCTCAGCCACCAGGTGTGCCATGGCCCTATCAGGGATACTGTTCCTGACAGCTTGTAGTCCATCCTTGTGTGGAATATTGGTATAAAGAGCTTCTACATCCATGGTGGCCAGGATGGTGTTTTCAGGAAGATCACCAATGCATTGTAGTTTCCTCAGGAAGTCGGTGGTATCTCAAAGATAGGTAGGTAGCATAGAGTCTGAGGAGAGAGTCCAAATAGCCAGATAATCCCACTGTAAGAGTGCCAATGCCTGAGATGGGGCATCCAGGATTTCCAGATTTATGGATTTTGGGTAGCAGATAGAATACTCCCAGTGGGGGCTGTAGGGGCATGTCTGTGTAGATTTGTTCCCGTGCTGTAGCAGGGAGTTTGTTGAGCAGATGGTGTAGTTTCTTTTGGTACTCCTCAGTGGGATCGGAGGATAGTGGCCTGTAGAATGTGGTGTTGGAGAGTTTCCTGGCAGCCTCTTGTTCATAATCCGACCTGTTCATGATGACTACAGCACCTCTTTTGTTAGCCGGTTTGATTATAATGTCAGAGTTGTTTCTGAGGCTGTGGATGGTGTTGTGTTCTGTACGGCTGAGGTTATGGGGCAAGTGATGCTGTTTGTTCACAATTTCAGCCTGTGAAGGTCTGTGGAAGCACTCTGTTTAGAAGTCCAGTCTGTCATTTCGACCGTCAGGAGGAGTCCACGCAGAATTCTTCTTCTTGTAGTGTTGGTAGGAAGGTTCCTGTGGATCAGTGTGCTGTTCAGTGGCATGCTGAAAATATTCCTTGAGTCGGAGATGATGAAAGTAGGCTTCCAGATCACTGCAGAACTGTATCAGGTGCATGGGGGTGGTGGGGCAGAAAGAGAGTCCCCGAGATTCTGTTAGCTTTTTTGTCTGCCACTGCACATTGAAGAGATGGATTCAGAGAACTATTCATGATGATTCCAACTTGTTCTTGAGTGGTAACATCTAATATAGATCCCATCATTTTGTATTTATAGTTGAGATTATGTTTTCCAATGTGCATTACTTTGCACTTAACACTGAATTTCATCTGCCATTTTGTTGCCCACTCCCCCAGTTTTGAGTGATCCCTTTGTAACGCTTCACAGTCAGCTTTGAACTTAACTATCTTGAGTAACTTTGTATCATCTTCAAATTTTGCCACTTCATTGTTCACCCACTTTTCCAGATCATTTATGAATAGGTTGAACAGCACAGGTCCCCATACAGATCTGGAACTTGGGTCTAGCATTACATTACAGTACTAGCACTGTACTGTAGTTATATTTCTCTGTGGTATTTCTCACTCTACAATACATTGTTCAGCACAGAGTCTTGCAGTCCACTGGTCAACCTCTACAGGAGATTAGTTAGCTCCTCCCAATAAGGAGTAACTACAACTTTTAATTCCACATGACCAATGTTAATGTTCCACTTATAAAAATATTCTGTTCTTGTTAGTGTGGCTGCTCTCAAGTCCAATGCTTATGTTCATAGATCAGGTGGAATAAATCCAATACGTACTTATGCAACCTGAGAGCTTAAAAGCCTGATGCAAAGTTTCTAAATTAAAGGGAAGATTCCCAATTACTTCAACAGCCTTTGGATCAAGCCTTAAATGAACTACTGTGTATCGAGAGCTGGAAATTAACTTGAAACTTATCTACAGCAGATAATACAGTGATGCTAATTATATCATTTAGCATCCATATATCATTTTTCATCTTCAAAGCCTTTCCAAACTTTAAGTTATTTTCATTTCATTTCAATATCTGATATATACATCTACATTTTTTCACAGCTGCTAATGAGTTTATCTTTTACCTGTTTCTTCTAACAGAAATGTAAACTGCTTCCATCCCAGCCTTTCCTGTATCTTTTTTTTTGTTCAGAGGTGTTGTCTAAAGTTTTAGAAAATACTCTCCAATATTTTTTAAACTACTAAATGTGTTTTGAACATCAGCATTTCTAAAGCACAGATTAACAAAGTCTAAGACTCATTCATCTACATTTTCAAAGCAGTGTGGATGCCTTTAGGCACATGACTGTTGATTTTAATGAGTTGTCATACAGCTAAAATCCTTTGCAATGCTTTGAAAGTGTACGGGTTCATATAGCTTTTATCTTACATAGCAATGTCATTTAAATTGTCATTATATTTTTGTGTACTCCTTTCACGAGAATTATTAAAATTATCAACCAGAATTGAAAAATGAGACACAGGAGATGTACTTCCTTGTAGAAGATGTGGCAGATCTATTGCTTCTCTCTTCACCACACTCACTAATTTTTCAGACAGTCTGCCAATCCTTGTCTTCAAATGAACAAAGTCCTGAAAAGATTTGAGAGTCTGAATAATTATTTTTTCAAACAAAAGTTTGGTTCATTTAATTTCTTTTGGAATACTACCAGCTACATTAGCAATAGCATAATCTTAAGCACGCCTACCTCACATTGCAACAGACTGTATTTAAAAAACAAAAGTGGCACAATGTAACTCAGGCATCAAACTATGCATTATAGCTTAATAATTGGATCTTTAATAAATGACAATTGACTCTGGGTTGGGTTTGGAATGCTACCAGTCTCTTAACCTTGCTCTGTGAATAGTCTGGACCTGTAGCCCTAGTGCATTACTGGACAAAGTAACTCTAAAGTCTGCTTTTTCCTCTTGTTCGTGAATTCGATGTGGTTGGATTCATATGGGGGGGTGTATCTTATTAGGAGATGGCCATGTCCATAGAATGCTGCCTGTCATATGTGGCCTCTGAGATCTTCACTTGTCTCCTGAAGTATTACTAAGGAAATGGGGTTCTCATTAGTGGCCCATTATATGGAGGACTTCTTGTTTATTTAGCCACATGACTGAGGATATTACCAGCAGTTCCTTGGCAGGTTCAGTTTCAAGACACTGGCTGCAAGTTGAGTGTCCCATGAATGTAGTTCCTGAGAAGATAGAGGCTCTCCCAAAGACCACAGAATCTCTCAGCATCAATTTAGATATTTTTTGTTTTCAAGTCATATTGTCCACTGAACAAAGTAACCCTCTATGCAGAATTACTGCTCAAGGTATAGTGGCTGATAAGCTTATGCTGAGACAGCCTCTAAAGCAGGGCTGGCCTTACCATGAGGTGAGCTGAGGCGGCCGCCTCAGGTGCCAGACTATGTGTGTGGGGGTGGGGGCGCACCACTAGGACCCAGAGTGTAGAAAATTGTGTCTGCTGCTGGTGCATATCTATTCTCTCTGCTCTAGATGCATAGAGATGGTGGAGTGCTGTGCTGGAGGAAGGAGGGCACAAGAGACAGAACAGGCACACAGGAGAAAAGATGAGAGGGAATAACCGAAAGCAACAGGAGCTGCAGGGAGAGAGGGGAGGAAGAGTCTCTTATGTACCTCTCTAGCACCCCCAGGAGCCTGGACTGATTAACACCAGCTTCTCAGGGAGCTTCCTGTTACCTGCTGCTTCCCTGAACCCACTTGAGGAAAACAGGTGGTCAACTGAAGTAGTAGGAGCCAGTTAGGCCGGTAAGAAACTGATATCTTCCCTTACTCAGGCCCTGCTACCAGCCTGCTTATTGTCCCCTTCAGTTGAGTGTTGAGAGCCACTATAGCTGGCACAGAACAGTAGTCATGACTGAAAGAAGAAAAACACCCTTCTGGGGCAGCATTCAGAAAAAGCAAGCAAGCAAAGGAAGCTTTTCTATCTAAGCAGGAAGGCGCTCTCCTGAGATAGACACAAATGTCACGGTGAGCCTTCTGGCCCCAGTGAGGATGTGAGTGGTGAGAAGATGCCTGATCTTCCAGTTAGTCAGAGTGTAGGTGACCTGGCAGCTACTGCAGCATCCATATCTCCATCTCATATGGATGTAACTATGCACATTCCTGAAGAAAAGTGTAGATCAGAGAAGAGTGTGGTGGAGGCGCAAGAAACAGCTGCTGCTGAGTTTAGTTCCTTAAGTCTAGATGATCCAGGACTGTGCACCCACTTGAGCAGTAGCCTGAGGGACTTCCTTGTACTGCATGGGCCACAGCAAGTGAAAAACTTCATGTTTCCCAAAGACAATGAAAATAGAAGTTTCCATCCAACACATTACTGGTGTGAAATCCCCAATGGTGACAAAGCGGAGAGGCCATGGCTTATGTATTCAAAAACCCAGAATGCTGCTTACTGTTTTTGTTGCAAATTCTTCCAGTCTAATATTCCAGCCACATTGGGTTCTACAGGAACAAAGGACTGGAAAAATCTGGCTAGAAATCTGGCATGCCATGAGAAGGCAGCAAATCACCAGAGAGCATTCCATAAGTGGAAAGAGCTTGAGATGAGACTAAGGTTAAAGGCCACCATAGATGATCAGCATCAAGAGAAGATTGCATCAGAGTCTCTTTACTGGCAAAATATTCTGAAAAGGCTCATTGTCATTGTGAGAATGCTTGCTACCCAAAACCTAGCACTGCGTGGCACTTCAGATCAGCTGTATGTGCCAAACAATGGAAACTTCCTTAAAATTGTGGAGCTGATGGCTGAGTTTATGCTGTACTCCAGCAACATTTAAGAAGAGTCACCACCCAAGAAATGTACACACACCACTACCTTGGAAAAACAGTTCAAAATGAGATCATACAGTTACTGGCAACAAAAGTCAAACAGAAGTTTGTGGCAGATCTGAAGTCAGCAAGATATTACTCTGTTATTCTGGACTGCACACCTGACATCAGCCATGCAGCACAAGTGACTTTAATGGTGCATTTTGTAACAACAACAGAACCTAGTGAAAATTTCCCTGCAATGGTGACTGTCAGAGAGCATTTTCTAGAATTTATTGACATTGATGATACTACAGGAGCTGGTATGACAAATGTGCTTCTTAAAAAGCTGGAAGATACAGGAATTGCGATAGCTGGCATGAGAGGTCTGGGCTACAATAATGGTGACAACATGAGAGGAAAGACCAGAGGAGTGCAGACACGGATCCGAGAATTAAACCCTTGAGATTTTTTTGTCCCATGCAGTTCTCATTCATTGAACTTGGTGGTCAGTGATGCAGCATCAGCTTCTAGTGAGGCTGCTGAATTTTTTAAATGTAATTCAAAGCATCTATATATTTTTCTCTGCATCAACTCATCAATGGCAAATTTTGAAGCAACATCTTGGAACATCCTCTCTGATACTGAAACCACTGAGTGCCACATGATGGGAAAGTCAAAACGGAGGCAATAAAGCCTATAAAATACCAAATTGGGAAGATAGATGATGCCATAGTTGCCATTATGGAGGATAATGCTATGACAGGAACTGTTCGAGGGAGAACAGTGGCAGAGGGAAATGGAATCACCAGAAACATACATAACTTCAAATTTCTGCTTGGCTTAGTGTCGTGGCATAACATACTGTTTGAAATAAATGTAAGCAAGAGACTCCAAGATGTTGACCTTGATATATGTGGAGCAATGGAACAACTGGACAAAGCAAAGTCATACCTACAGTCTTACTGGTCAGATGAGGGATTTCAAAACATTCTGAAGAGTGTACAGAAGTTGGCAGAGGAACTTCACACTGAAGCTATTTTCCCACCCATTCAAGAATACAAGAGTCACTGAAGAAGACATTTTGATTACGAGGCATAATCCCATAAGAGACCCCAAACAACAATTCAAAGTTGAATTCTTTTACCAGGTGTTAGATTGTGCAATACAGTCAGTTGAAGAATGTTTCATGAAGCTCAAGGAACACAGCAGTATATTTGGGATGTTGTATGATATTCCAAAAACTCCTCTCTATACCTGAAGAAGACCTACACCAGCAATGCAGGGCACTAGAGACAGTGTTGACACATGATGACATGCGCGATATTAATGAGAGTAATTTAGGTGATAAACTGAAAGCCCTTTCAAGATACATTTCAGCTGGATCAACTGTTCTGGAATATATGTGCACTAATAAGATGACCACCCTCTTTCCAAATGTTTTTGTTGCTCTGCGCATACTTCTAACACTTCCTGTAACAGTTGCCAGTGGAGAATGCAGCTTCTCCAAGCTGAAGTTAATAAAAACACATCTACGCTCCACAACGACACAGGACAGGCTGGTCGGCCTTGCAACCATCTCAGTAGAGCATGAGCAGGCCCAGATTGTGGACCTTCAGGAAGCAGTTCAAATCTTTGCAACCAAGAAGGCATGGAAAGCACCACTTTGATTATTCAAACAGATAAAAATGCCAGTGTTTACTATGCAGACAAGAAAAGTTACATTTGCTGTTCAGGCGTTTGAAAGTTAAGTGTTACTTAAAAATTTTGAACAAGGCATTTTAAGTTGTTAGTTCTCCTTTATTGGGGTAGGTAGCAGAGCAGTATCATGAGAGGAGTAGAACAGGAAGAAGGCAGAATTGAGACCTTTCAAAGTTTTGACCAAAGCGAGGGGGCATGGGGGCATCAGTTGAGCTCCCCGCCTCAGGTGCCAAAATGTTGTGGGCCGGCCCTGCACTAAAGATCTTTGGCCTCCTCACCTTCGCTTCTGGAGTGACACTTGAATCTACCGTCTGTCACCAGCTCTACAGTGACATGACAAATGAGTTCAGATACTCAAGATCTCTCTGATCTGAGCAGTGATATGAATGTGCTGGTGAGTGCATGTCACTCCAACAGAGATGTGGCAATTTCCTGGCACAACAGTAACACTGGACTGCAGTCTGCAGGCCTGTTTAGGCCTTGGGGCTAGATGAACCTGTTTAGGTCTTGTACAGTTAAGGCACATTATTATACAAGTATTGAAGGGAAGAGGCCAGTGATGATAAAGGTCATTCTATCACTTCCTCATCCCCTTTCATCCATTGTCAGGACTTATTGGCCGGAGGGTTAATTTGTTTAATTTGAATTAAATAAACATGTGGTCTATTGTTCTTAGAAACATACCAGTTCAATGTCTGCTTAAGATCATTCTGGGTCTTACATATTTTTTACTTTTGTGCATATCTTGTTTTCACCTCATTCCCTTTCATTTTAATTGACCTATAAAGGCAGTTATAAAGTGATTATGTCACTTGCAGAATCTGTTTCAGTTCAGAAAGAAATTTGTCTCATTCTCCTCTAAATGGATGTCATCCTTAATAAAATATAATAAACTGTACAAGGTATTCCAAGAGAAATGTCAAAATATGACTAAACTCTGAATCATTTATTTCAAGGGAACAATAGAGTGTATTTAAAAAGGTGATTGGAATTGTATAATCCAATCTTGATTTATGAGCAGGTCTGTATTTGAATTTTATTTGATGCCAGGACTGAAAGCTGTTATTTGCTAATATTTGCATAAAACTGACACTTTAAATTAAAAT